CCCACCAAGTTTGCTAAATCCTTGTCCTTTGTAAAAGGGGAATAAGTCAGCAAAGTCAGAGGACTTTTCAGAGAATTTTGTTTGGTTCTTTGCCAGAATGCCTGCGGGTTAGAGGGTTAAACTGAAAGTTTACATTCAGGCCTTTCTACATTAAGAAGTCATGGGTTCCTGACTGTCAGGCATCAGGCACAATTTTACTTTGAGGAACAAAATCACAACAAAGAGAGAAAATACACATTGATTAATGGTGTTGCAGGCAGGCAGTCTTTAAAAGGATTGAAAGACTGGAACACAGTAATTACCATTAAAAAAAATTTCAAACTGTTGCATGCAATATTATGTAAGAATAAGTTATTTGTTCATAAAATTTCTTTATATCTTTTGTTATTATAACTTATGTATGCACTAGCTTGGAGCCTAGATTATAAAATTGCTTTGCTTATTTGAAAACCTTGAATTATGGATGGGTGGGTATAACCCACCTATAAAGCCTTTACTGTGTTAACAATTATTTCGGAGCTAGGTGGAAATAGTTCACTGGACCGGTGAATGTAGCCAAAGAGATTGGAGACATAATCTTGTGAATCTGGGCAACATATATCCTGTCGATGTGGGTAGCTCGGGCTCCAAATTGATCCTAGAAGGGTTACATTACATAGGTGCTGCCAGTGTCTCAGGCCGCTGAGTCTTCTGCAGTCCTGGGGAGAATGTGAGGATAAGAGAAAAAAGAACTTGCCAGTTATCTAGGTCTGATAGTTCTTGTGACTATGGATTAATACCCCACATACTCCCCTAGGGAGGACCTGAGTTGTTAGAAACTGTGTAGTCAGGGGCCTGGGATATTGGTAGGGGGCATAGAGGCCGAGAGGGATACAGATGGCAGAAGCTTCAGCTTGTAGAGCATAAGTGGGCAGGCTTCTAGAAGTGGGCAGCCTTCCAGACGTGATGTGCCCAGTATTCTCTCATTCACTAGCTTATAGACTTCTTTGGCAAGGATGCATTTTACTGAAGTCTCTTTGAAAGAAAATTTGCCTTGTCCAAGATACTAGGTCCTGAACTTGATGGAACGGCTGCCAAGTTGTAGTGGCTTTTTTGGGCAGGTGTGTTTGTAAAAGAGCCACAAACACTATCAGTGAGGCCACTCTCAGAGTAAATAAAAAGCAGACGTTCAGGGTTAAATCTGAGGGGTCAGAATGTGCCGGCAAAGAATCTGCATCACTGACCCTATGGACATACCTCGGCTGTCCTCGGTCATCAAAGCATGTTGAACTTGGGCAGTAGGTTCTAGTGGTGTCAAAAGTTGTGGCCCTGGAGCCAGACTGCTTGAATGGGAACTGTGAGTCCAGCTCCCAGTCGCTGAGTGTTATCATGGCCAAGGTACTCAATTCTCTGTACCTCGGTTTCCTCCTCTGCAAAGTGAGAATATTGATAAGTGCTGCCTCGGGGTTATGCTGAGGAGTGAACATGTTGATACACATATAGTTCCTAATGAACATTAGATGGCAATGGTTGAGTGAGTTAATACACATCCAGCTCCCAGTAGGTGTTAGATGATACCCATGATGACCAAGATGACGGTGACAGTCCTCGAAATGGGTGTGGCTGTTAGGAGAAAGCATGCAGCGTGGTTGAGGCTCCTGCCCCTTCTCCCTGGCCAGGGCCGCTGTGCAGTTGCCGCCCAGATGACTAGTCAGCGCTCCCTCTTCTCTTACAGGGTTGCTCTCCAACCTCTTAGTTGGCACTGACTTCTGGCCAACCTTGAATTGTTTGGATTGATCTTCCTGGCCTTGACGTTGTGGAGTCCCAGAAGACAGGAATGGTGTGTTCTCATAATCCTAGCGTCGTAGAAGATGAGGGTTTTTGTTGATTTGGGGTTTTTTTATTTTGTTTTTTTTAAATCAGATGAAGGCCCAGAATTCTGCACAGGATTTTTCTCACACAGAAAGTTAAGGTTCTCCTTTTAAAAACAGCGAGGGACAGGAATTAGTAGAGACGTCTAAGTCTTTGGCGTCTGGGTTGGGGATTGCTACTCTCAGTCATCAGGTTCCTCAGGGTTCTTTTTCTCTTTGCACAGGTTTAGCCTCAGGTAACATAAGCACAGTTTTCAGCTTGGTAAAACCCTGACCAGACATGGGGCCTCTTAGTATGGTGTCCCCTGTTTAGGAACATGCATATCTGCATGGGTGTGCTGTGATCAGGGGCCCGGTGGTGGCTGAGGGCTGTGTAGGGGAGAGAGTGATGAGGAGAGACAGACAGGGAGGGAGGGAGGGGAAGAGGGGGGGACGAGTGGGTAGATACAATATTCCCCATTCTGTTAAGAATCTCACCAAACTGGCCCACTGGCTTGTTGAAATAGAACAAGCCATAGGCAGCAGCTGGTGGAAAGATCTATCCAATGTACTAGTTGAGGATTTTTTTTTTTTTCCCCAAAAAGACCTACATTGCCAGGAAAAGCTAACAAAAATTTCAAGGCAGATTTGGAGGAATTAAATTATTCTTAGGCATGTTGCCTGGTTTCCAGGCATTTAGGGATATGTAAATTTTCATGTTCTTTAGAGTTCTGTGTCTCATTTGTACAGAGTACATTAGTACTAAAAATGAGATTTGCCAGTCCTCCATATTTGTGTGAATTTCTGCAGTGAATATTTAATTTGATTCTGGAGCCATCAAAAGGAGAGGTTGTCTTCAAACATAATATAGTTTATTTTTCTAATACACCCGGCTGGTTGCTTTAGTTTTCTTTTTTATCTGATGACTGAAATACAAAGTTAGAATACTATCTCAAATTAATATTCTAACTATTCCAAGGTTTCCAGTGTTTGTTTTTGCTTCTTTTAACATTAACTCTCCTAAGAGTGTTACTGTACTACCACTAAGAGGCTCTAACCACGTAAAGTTGAATACTTGACGCTTCTGCGTGCCAGCATCACGGGCTGTTGATTAGATTCTGCATGTTAAGATGCATATACGGACGAGTTCCTATAATACCAAGCTTCTCACGTGGCCCCCCTCATCAAAACACACGGAGCTCGGTTTGATATAGCACGCTGATGTTGTGTGGCTCTCATTTATTGCTTTGCTACTCAGCCAGCTTAACTGAAACCTTTAAGTTGCTTTTACTCTTTGTAATGAAGATAGTGCTGAGAAATGACCAGAGTGCAAAGTGTGTACATGAACGCCCTGTGCTGTTGGCAGGCCACGTGCTGACTTTCTCTCTAGAGAGTCTTTAATTCCTCTGCCTCCACTATGTTACAAGAAAAAAAAAAGCAAAAACTTGCCCTACTTGTTTCCCCCTACACCAGGGCTATCTGTCCAGGGTAATTTCCAGCAAGCATTTCTACTTCCTCTTCAGTTCCTTAACTCCTTCAGTTCTAGCAACTGTCCTCAGTGTCTCTAGACTGGAGTCTGCGTTCTCAGAAGTCAATGATGATACGGTGATGGGCAGAGCCCCGGGTTTCCTAGCCTTGCCTCACTTTCCCCTTGCTGGAGGCCCCTGCAGGATTCGGTCTTAGGGATCACCTTTTCCCACCCAAAGCGTCTTATCCATTGTTTCCCAGATATAGTGTGTCTCCAAACTTGGACTTTGCTTTTAACGTTGCATTCAGTGAACCCCAGTGTTTGGTTCTTGGATCATTTTTTAACCTTCGATAGTTTTTCTTTGGGAGTCCCTCCATTCCATTGAGTTCAGCCTTGCCTTATTTGCAGCTGATGAAGTCTGTAGCGGGTTCCCTCTCTTGAATCACAGGCTGGGTTTGCCCCTGCCCCCTACACTAGCAGTTGTGTGCCCGGCATCCCCTAAAGCCCACCGGAGTCCACCCTGGGTAGGCCTTCTGCTCCTGTTCCGTGTTCACGCTGACTCGGGCATCACCGCATCCACTCCTGCTCTCTCTGCAGCGTCTGTTGCTTCATTCTTCCCCTCCGTACCTTCTGCTGCCGCCTTGGTTCCCGCGCTCAGGGCCTTTCAGCCACACCACTGCAGTACCGCTTTCATCCCCACCCATCCCCCCTGTGCCTGTCCGTCCCGTTCACCGCAGTTAGACCGAGATTCTTCAAGTGCAGCTCTCATGTTGTTGCTCCCCTTCCTCCATGCGTTTTTGGTGGCTCCCGAGATTAGACCGTAGTACCCCCAAGCTCAGTGCAGGCATGCCTCGTGTCCTATAACCCCTCCCTGTCTTTCTAATCCAGTTCCAGTGCTCCCTCTTAGGCTTCCGACGCTTTGGACTGCCTGTTCTAGCTCCTCCCAGAATACGACATTTCTTAGTCACATCTGTACGTGAGATCATGCCACATGTTCCTTTCTATCTTCAGATCCCTGCAGTGAGACGTGGTCTCTCCCTCATTGGAACCCAAAAGCCTTTAGCCTCTGCCTGTCTTCCGCTACTTACCTCGTGTTACGGTTCCTCGTGTAGCGTTCTTATCCGAGAGACATTGCCACATGCCGGCACACCTCGCACCCCTGCCTAGTGTTCTTGGAAGGTGGACTGTCTTACTCATCTTTGTTGTATATATCACGTGGAGCGGTAGCACGCTGGCCCGTGTGTGTGTGCCAAATTGATTAAATACTTGTTGAATGGAAATAGAAATTCAAATTCACACAGATGGCAAAGTGTGATGTTCATTCATAAGTCTTGTTTTTCCTTTGCTAGGTGAAGCTCGCGTGTGGAGTGACACAGTCTAATCAGACGCCAGATGGACAGTGTGACAAGAGTGTCAGAAAGGATTGGGCCGCGCTGCGAGAATCAGCCTGGAGGCCAAGTGTTGACGAGCTGCTGAAAAGGAAGCCAGTGGGAGGACTGCGGGCCGCAGAGGAAGTGGGACCCTGTCTTCAGTCACACCATTGATGGAGGACAGATGGATAGCCGGACATCCGGTCACCTCTCCTCTTAAACCTTTGGAGAGTTGTCCCCTGTCCTCTGCTGGACACATATTACGAATCTTAACATACTCTCTGAATTCGCCTTCCATAGAAACGTAAGATCAGACTGCAGCGTGTCACCAGACTCCTCTGTTGCATGGTCACGGACTCGCCAACATGAGTGCCGAGGGCTATCAGTACCGAGCGCTGTATGATTACAAAAAGGAACGAGACGAAGATATTGACTTGCACTTGGGTGATGTCTTGACTGTGAATAAAGGGTCCTTAGTAGCTCTTGGATTCAGTGATGGACAGGAAGCCAGGCCTGAAGAAATCGGCTGGTTAAATGGTTATAATGAAACCACGGGGGAAAGAGGGGACTTTCCGGGAACTTACGTTGAATATATTGGAAGGAAAAAAATCTCGCCTCCCACGCCAAAGCCCCGACCACCTCGACCCCTTCCTGTTGCACCAGGTTCTTCGAAAGCTGAAGCAGACGGTGAGCAACAGCAAGGTCAGTATTCATGAGTGATTGCTTCGTGGCTTTTTTTTTTTTTTTTTTTTAGGAGAAGCCTGAGAGTTGTGTTGGGCTATCACCCTCGGAGAAGAACTCATTTTGGCAACTTTATCTGAATTTATGTATGGTATATAAAAGCTTGGTCAGTCATTGCAAGACTAGAAATTTGTGTTTGTGGGGTAGAGAGTTGGAAAAAGAAGGAGATGGTGTATGAGAACCTGTTTCGTGAGCATCTTTAAACAAACCCTGTTATTATAGTTGCCATGGAATTAAACACTACCGCATTCTTCCTCTTGTAATTGGTATTAATATATTTAAATAATCATTTGGGGAAAGTAGAGGGTAAGTCAGTATATTTAACATTAATTTGATGTATATGGAAAAATGTCGAGAGCAATAAAGTGACCACAGAAAGCAGAGAAGAAAGCATTGTTTTTATAACCTGGTTATCTCCCTCTTGGTTTCCTCTCCAGAAACACTGTGGCTGAAGCTGACTCCTAATCCTGTACTCAGTATAGATGGAGAGGGAGTTCTCTTCCTTCATGGGCAGGGTCATTCGTAGCATTATTGCTTCTAGTGTGCTAGGCCGTCACAAGAAAAAAAAAAATTACTGAATGCTTTTTATAAATGGAAACCACCTTGATTCAAAACCCGCTCCTTGTTTATTATTGGAGATGGTCCACACTCGAGCTTTGTGCACAGCTGGTCATTTAAGGTTTTTCTGCTGTTCAGTGTCACACAGAGACAAGCCGTTTGCTCAGCTTTGCCGTTATGACCTTTGTTAAACACTCATTTCCTCGTTAGTAAATTTCAGGCTTTTTTTTTTCTTCTCATAATTGTTTCTTTTTTTCTCAGACTGAGAAAGGTTTGGAAAGGTAGGTTTAAAACAGGTGGACCCTCCCGCAGCGGTTGCATGTTAAGTCCAATGGCGTGTGGCATTACTGTGTATTTCTGGGAGGGATTCTTAGTCTCTTGTGCCTTCTTTAACGTTGGCTTATTTTGGCACATAGGAATGAGGTAACACGGGAATAAAGGAGCAGAATTTAAGGATAAAGAGCTGCCTTTTAGCACTGAGTCATAATATGACAGGGAATATTTTGTAGAAGTCAAGCATTCCTGCCTAGAGATACCTGAAGGGATGTGCCTTCTCCTCCCCTGCCTGACCCAAGAGAGATACATGTTTGATGAACATGATACCATACTTTAGAAAAATGTCCAAATAATGTCTTTTTACTATACAGTTGAAAAGCAAAAGTTAATTTTTCTTTGCAGGTAAGTCAGAAAACCTTGACTGCATACGTAGATACAGTTTTGTCAACCATTGCATTTCATTGAGCAGATAGAAAGTGTATACATTATTGTGGTTTTTTTTTTTTCCCCCCACCCAACTACAGATTTTTAATTTGGCTGTTAACTTTTTAAGTTAAAAAAAAAAAAAAAACAAAACACTTCAAGTAGCCTGATTCAAAAGGAAAACCTATTTAATTTGTCCCAGAATATAAAAGATGACAGAATCCTCCAAGTATCTGTGTTGGATTAGAGAAGATTGTTTGAAAGGTGGGAAAAGGGGCATCTTGTCAAATTAGTGACCCAGATTTTGTAAAAATAATTTCTAAGCAAAATTGCATTTGATAACTGCTATTAGGTGTAACTTCCATTATAAGCAAAATGATTTTCTCTTTTTTAGGTCCTAAACTATTTTGCAGTGCTTTCTTTCTCATGTGATGTGACAATGGAGATTTTTCACAGCCTTTTCTTTTTTCTTTGTAACACATGAAAAGGTAGAGTAATGGAAAATTTTTAGCAGAATTTAGGAAAGAAACCCATGATAATGTGCATTCGGGTATTAGAAAGAGTGGGCCCAAATACAATGAGAAATTAAGAGTTACTGAAAGGTTGAAGAGGCAGTATGGGGAGGTTGTGAGGGGAATGTAGTACTAAACATTAGGTTTTCCAGAAATGTTAGTCTTCTGTTCTCATTTAAATAGGATTTGTCTGAAATGAGAATTCAGTAGCTCCTACTAGTTGCCTGTCACATTGAAAAGGAAAGTAGTTGTAAGGACAAACATATATGTTGGAACTATGGGATTCTGGTTTGGAAGACTTTGCAGTGATAAATTGTAGGGCAGCAAGAGAGGATAGTTCTTTTCTTACTGTAATTGAATTCCTTAGCACTTTTTTCTTTTTACTCCCCTGCCACTTGATTTAGCCTGTTTTTTGTGTTTGACTTCCTTTGTTTTACTTAGAAGGTTGCCCTCGAGGCCTGAGATCACATGTAGGTCTCCTGTTGAGATAGTGTCATAAGGAGAGTTGGCACTCCCCCTGTAATGGGCAGGGGTTAGACAGAGAGTGCTCATGCCTGTCTGCCTGCTAATTGTGTGGTTCTTGTCTCCTGCTCTTGCAACCTTCTCTCTCCTTAAAAGAAAGTTGTGATTGGACCCTGGCCAGAAGTACACTGTGTGAGGGATTCCTCCTTACATAATAGAACCCACTTTTCCACTTTTCCTGGAATGTTCCTGGAAATAAAGCTGTAAAGTTGAGCTCTTGAAACTCATTTGAAAATCTGCTAAACCTTCCACTGCTACATTTTGCATGTAGTCTCTTAGGAAGCCCTGTCTGTCGATGGAATTGAATTTGTTCATTGGTCCATTGTTGTATTTACTGGCTTCAGAGTCATTCAGTAAACATGAACTGCATCCCTATTTTGTGCTGAGAAGTAGCGATGACAAATGAAGGCAAGATTCGAGAGAGAGAAATAGCATGCCTTCGGATACCATGTCCTTCCCCCTCCCACCCCAGGGCTCTGCTTCCTCCCCTCCGCTTGGCCGGCTCTTCCTCGCACATCCCTTGGGTGACCTACTCTCCCCTCTGCTCACATCTCATGGAGGCTGGCTCTGCTCACCCTATTTCACATGGTGACCTGCCCCTCTGCTTTTGCAAACCATTTATTATCTAACCTGCTATAGAATTTACTTCCCATGTGGATGTTTATCATCTCTTCCCTCTGCCAGATTGTAGGCTCCATGACAGCAGGAATCTTGGTTATTCCTCCATGATCCCAAGTATCTAGAACAGTGCAATAGGTTCTCAGTGGATAAAGGCTTACTTTTGAGGTTCTTCATCTAAATGTTTCACATCCCAGGCGGCTTGAGAGCCCTGCACTCTGTATGTCACAGGCAGGCACAGGAGGCTGCAACAGCCCATTCTGTGGTTAGAAATCACAGCTTACTTGTTTTCACATCATTCACATCTGAGGAATCTTGCAGCCTTGGCCTTGACCGTTGCATACTTTGTTCTCCAAAACTGTTATTTTCTACTCCAGTGCTTAGCAGAGGTAGTTCTGCTAGCGGGAAAGTGTGTTCGTCTGATAGAGGGTTCTGTCAGCCACTTAAGCAAAGTGATTAGAATGTGTGTCAAGATCAGCAAGGGTCCTCAGGTTTTATTTCCTCTCCCCTCCTTTCATCTCCTTCCCTTTGCTTGGGGGCTAAAATTGCCAAGAGGAGTGTCACATTGCACTTTCCCACCATTTAGTGAAGCCCTCTGTGACCTACTTTGGAGAGAATCTCTTCAGTGTTTCGCACAGGTGAAGGGTGTGGAAAATGGGTGTCACATGGTCCTTAGGGGGGCCATGCTGTTGAAAAACAGTACTCCAGCTCTCTCTGCATTAGGCTCTTCAGACACTGGCATTCCATTCCCAAACACACAACCCCATTCAACCACGGTCCCTAGTTCCTCTGTACACAGAGAAATGATGGAGGTGGAGATGTAGGGATAGGGGAACGAAAATGTTTTCCTTTCTTTCATAAATAGCTGTCCTGTGGGGCTATTTCTTGAGACAGTGTTTTGTGATTCTTTAAAGTCATGCTAATGCACAATATTTAGACTAGTGAGATTCTAGTTAGTGACAAACTAGAATCTAGTTTATTGTATAGACCTAGTGACCATGTTAGTTTGTAGCGAACATTGGAATCTGCTAACTTGAGAGACCACTTATGGATCTGAGTTCATACCCACCTCCGTCCCCCATCCACACCCTTTACCGGCTCCCACTTTGGACCCTGACAGCGAGTCCCAGGTCCCAGCTGGTTCCACATATAGAACACAAAGCACACATTTGGCAAGGCCTCTTTTAAATTTTGATCAAAATTCTTTCTAAGCAGAAAAAGGAAAAAGCTTGTAACTTGTCTTTGCTTTCAAGGTTTCCCCGGCCAAGTTATTTTTACATTTCTCACACTCAGCATTTGAGTGCCCCTCCATGGTTGTCATTCATCGTCTAGAAAGCAAGGCTGTAATAAATCACACAAATTGACTACACTGTACAGAGGTCACAGAAGATAGTGGCCTGATCCCAAATCATACACCTTTGCTGAGCCTCATGGTCATAACATACTGCTGTTGCTCACCCAAAGAGTACCTGTGAAAGTAATTTGCTTTGCTTCACAAATTCCTGCCTTTATGAGTTCTGTTTCAGTAGAGATGATGCCTTGTCATAACTTTCTTCACCTTTTCTCCTACTTAAGTGAGACTTTGCTTGTGAAGTTAGAGGATCGTCCTGTTGAGCTCCTCTGAATGGTGGGGTGAGACATCGGACTTGTGGTGCTGACTGCCCATTCTGCATTGACCATGCTGCTATTGTGAGAAAGCAGGGCTGGTTAGAGGGTATTTGAAGATAAAGGCCTTAGAACCCTGCCTCTAACGACCCACTGGAGAAACTAATCAGAACACTAGAGATTTCGACCTCTGTGTTTAAATACGAAATGAAGTACATTTCCAAAAGATATCATCAATATAACTGATTAAAGAGTAGGTCTGGAGAAAACAAATGTGATAATTATTTTTGCTAAAATCAGATGAGCTTAACCACTTCTCTTAAGATCCCAGAAGGAATTACTCATGTGTTAAGTGACATGTTATAATAAGTTCTCCTGCTCGAGTGCCAGCATTTCTATTCTTTTTTTTTCCATTTTGAATCTTTTTACTAAAGGCTTGATTTTTAA